TGGAGCCGTTGGTTTCAGCCCTTAGTCTTCCTGTGCTACCTTTGTCCCGCCTTGGCAGTTGGCCGCCCCATGTTGGTTCGGTGTACAGCCTCTCCCCTTCCCCTCTCTTCCCCGTCAGCTGTTTGGCTCGTGAGTGCCTGTCTTGCACATTCTCTCGAGCTGCACCTCCCGCGCCATCCACCCGACCAAGTGATGGCGCCCAAGTTCTCGAAGCCTGCGCCGACGCCTTGGCCCGCCAAGGCGTGCGCCGCGGGGGAGGCACCAACCTCCAAAGCAAGGCCGACGCAGCGCCCTGTTCAGCAGGTAAGCTTGTCGGAGAGCGAAGACGAGGAGTTCGACATGGTGTCCGAGGCGGCGCCCTTTCGGACGGCACCGACAGCGCACGCGGAATCAGCGACCCCCGCTGAGGACGCCGATGGAGGCGGCGGCACGGGGGCCGCCCCAGCGCCGCCGCCTCCGATGGCGCCTCGGCGACGCCTGCATCGGCGGCGGCGCCAGCGACGCCGGCCGCCCTGGCAGCGGCAGCCACGCATGCCGACTTCACCGCGGAGCAGCGCCGCGGGCTGGACGCGCTCACCCTCGCGCTCCACAACCTTCAGCTGAGGGGGCATGCTGCGGGTGGCCGCGGCGGCCGCGGGGCGCGCAGCACTGCTGGCGGCGAGCGCGCCGTGGGCGACGGGGCCGCCAGCGAAGCCCCGAGCGCGGCGACCACGGGTGCCCTCAGCGGCCATGGGGGCAAACGCCACCGCCGACGCAGCAACAAAGCCGTCTACGGCCAGGCCCCCCAGTCGAGCGACGGCGCACCAGCCGCGCTCGAAGACGCAGAGATGATGACGGAGGAGGATTACGCTGAGGCGGGCTACGTCCACTGCATGGGCGCATACTGGGCCCCGCCGCACCGCCTGGGCTGGTGTCGGAGGTGCACGGCGCTGGGCGACTGGAAGAGCATGGCGGTGGAGCACGTGGGCGAGCTCAGCTGCGCGGAGATGCGCCGCTATGCGGAGGCCAAAGAGCACAACGAGAAATACCCTGAGCTGAGGAGGGGCAGAGAGGGGCAGTACAAGCTGTACATGTGCTCGAACTGCGTGGCGACGACGCAGGGCATCTCCGAGCACGAGGCCGTGACGCGCGCTGCGCGCGCGAACAAGGGCCCAGGCTCCATCGACCATTGACCATGCCACCAAGCGGGTGGCGAAGTTCCGTGCGAGCTTCGACTACATCAAGGAGGGCATGGACGTCCTGGTGGGGTTCGCGCTCTCAGAGGAAGGCTTGCTTGCCCTGCGGAGGTCAACGGAGGGCGCGGGGGTGGGCATCGACCCCGAGAGCACGGGCGCCCCCTCCAGCCACGGAAGAAGTGGCGAGGGAGGTGGGCCGCCCGATGGCGAGGGAGGTGGGGGTGGCGCCAGGGCAGCCCCGTGCGCCACCCCCGCCCCTCGAGGAAGAACCTCCCAGCGAAGAGGAGAACGACCTTCAGCCCGACATGGACGCGGAGGACCAGGAGCTCCAGCTGACCGAGGTCAAGACCGTGAAGGAGGTCACGGACATCGAGCCCCTGCTGCGGCTCGGCCTATCCAAGAAGTCGCTGAAGCGCATGGCGCGGGCCTATGGCGTCCTCAAAGTCGAGGCCATGCGCACCCACATGCTGGGCGGCCTGGGGCCCATCCTGGAGAAGAAGGAGGACATGGTGAGGGGCACCGAGGCGCAGGGCGGAGCCCAGAGGTGGCTCGACTCGCTGAACGAGGAGGCAGAGGTGGATGTGGGAAGGCTGAAGAGGGGTGTCCTGGAAGCCTCGGGGATCGCAGATGCCCACCTGGGACGCAAACGTGCCTGGAAGGAGGAGTACCAGGGCAACACCGCGGCGCAGGAGGCCCACCGCCGCATGGGCGACTACACGGACCAGTTCTACCGCGGCAAGGGCTTCACGTTCAACATGTACTGCAAGTGCGCGGCCAACAAAGACCTGGGATAATCCCAGGGGGTGCTGCTCGGTGATCCGCTCGGATCGCTGGTCACAGCTGCTCTCATGCGCACAGGAGGCAGCGGGGGAGACGGGTCAGCGCTGGTACTGCCACTGCGGCGCGCGCTACTCGACCTCCTACGGGGTCTGCATCGAGTTCATAAAGGAAGAGGCGAACCCGCCACACGCGTACTACATGCACGCGGAGCATCCCGAGGATGACATCCGCGACCTGAAGGCCCTGCTGCGCTACGACGAGCTCAAGAAGGATGGGATCTCAGTGGTCAACGCGATGGACCTCCTGAGGTACCTGCCCAAGGTTGAGCCGCTGGCGGTTGGCACCGTCTTCACGCTACGCTCCGCACCAGGCACAGTGGGAGGGCCACTATGTGCTGATGGAAGGGCTCACATGGGAGAGCTTGACCAAGTTCGAGTGGACCGACCTCTACGCGCAGGTCGCCCGGGGACTGAACGACCCAGAATGGGAGGGCTACAGCAAGAAGGCGCGGAACAAAGCCAAGAGGGAGCGCCTGGAGATGGCGCACAGGGAGTTGGCGCTCTACGAGCGCCGCCACAACCTGAAGGCGGGCAGCCTCTCGGGCGGCGGGGGTGGCACAGGGGTCGCCCCGCGCGCCGCCCCCGCGCGCGCCGCCAGCGCCCCGCCAGCGAGCGGGGCCCGCGGCAGCCAGGACCCGCCACCACCGCCAACTGGAGTCCCGCCAGAGGCCGCGGCCATCATGCGCCCCCCGCCGCCGCCGCCGACGGCGCCCCCTGATGCGCCGCCGCCGCCGACGCACCCGCCACCGCAGACGGACCCGCTCCCGCAGCAGATCCCAAACGTCGCAGCCCTGAACGTGGCCCTTGGTGAAGACCTTGAGCGCCAGATCTTTGGGCCCTCAGGGCAGGCGGGGGGCAGTGGCGACCTCGGCGGGGAGGTGCGGGCGCTGCCGTCACAGGTCTTTGCTGCCATTGCGCAGGGAGCAGGCCAGCAGGCCTGAATGATAAAGCCCAGCAGGTTCCAGGGCCTCGGCAGGCCACGTGAGTCCATGCCAAGTTGTCTAACTTGCTACGCTCTGTAGTGCGGTGTGCCCACAGCGGCACCCCCCTCGCGTGGCTGCACCTGTGGCGTTTGCCTCGGCTCGGCGCATGACTACCTGTGCGCCCAGCCACCTTGGCGTGCCAGCTGGCTTGCCATCTCGGCCTCCTCACGTTCACTTGCGCTCATTGGCCCCGCTGGCGGTGCTGGGGCAGCCCCGTGTACTGCAGCGTCGCCATCGGTCGCCATCGGGCGCCTGGCCATTTTGGCCTGCCATATTGGCCTCCTCTCGCGCCTTCTTGCGCTTGTAGGCCATGGTGGCGGTACTGGGGTCGCCCCGTGTGCTGCTATGCCGCCGCCTGCGCCTTACTTTTTGCTGTAGGGACCAGCTGCCCTCGGCCAGGCGCCTGCTGCTCCATGCACGTCAGACCCGCCCTTGGCTTGCCATCCAGGCCTTGCCTCGCGTCTTCTCGCGCTAGTTGGCCTGGGTGGCGGTACTGGGGTCGCCCCGTGCGCTGCTGTGCCGTTGCTGGTGTTTCACTTTGGGTCGTTGGTCCAACTGCCCACAGTACAAGCGCCTGACGCTGCAAGCATGTCAGACCCGCCCTTTCACCCAGAAGAGGTGCGCGCTACATACTGGCAATGAGGCAGCCACAAGGACGCTCTTCCCTAGGTGGTTGAGCCGTGGTGATGTGGTGCACGAGACCGCCAGTAGTAGTAGTAGTAGTAGTAGTAGTAGTAGTAGTAGTCGTAGTAGTAGTAGTAGTAGTAGTAGTAGTAGTAGTAGTAGTAGTAGTAGTAGTAGTAGTAGTAGTAGTAGTAGTAGTAGTAGTAGTAGTAGTAGTAGTAGTAGTAGTAGTAGTAGTAGTAGTAGTAGTAGTAGTGGTCGTAGTCGTAGTCGTAGTCGTAGTCGTAGTGGTAACATTGGTTGGAAGAGGAGAAAGAGGAGGGGGAGAAGAAGGAGGAGGGTGAGGATGAGGATGAGGATGAGCAAGAGGAGGAGTCAGAGGAGGAGGAGGAGCAGGAGGACGAGGAGGAAGAGGATGATTAAGAGGAGGAGGAGGAGGAATGATACTAGAACGACCCCCTGTGACTGCAGTGGAACCCGCTCTCTGGCCGCCCACGGGGCCCCGCCTCTGGGGAGCCTGAGGCTCACCGCCCCGCGAGCTGGCTGTCTTCCAGCGCGCGCCTGGACTGCCCCGGGTGGCCCCCTGGACTCTGGGGGTGGGGGCCATGCAGCGGCCAAGCACTGCCTCGGAGTCATGGCGACGGGGCAATGCCCCATCGAGGGGGTGTGCGGATGTGCCCTGCCATACAGCGGGTGCTCGGTCAGTGGACGCCCGCCAGACCAACGGCGAGGAGAGGAGCGCCGTAAAATCAAGAAAGCAGCAGTCAGGATTCCTCTAGATGGGCCGGCATGCGATGCCTCACGTCGGACCCCTGGAGACGGATGCGGAAAGAATCCCCAGAACCACAAGTCCGAGGTAGCAAAAGACTGCAGGCGAAAACATACCCCCAAGGTGCACAAACATATGCATCAACGGTATCACGAAAGCTCGAGGTGGTCGAAGCTTGGAGTGTATCCTCCATAGCTTAAATCATGTTGAAGGACTGAGTGGAGCAAAAAACAGCAGATATGCTGGGCAACATATCCAAACATAGCCCCATCCTGTCTACCCTAGGTGCCTCCGCCCTACAATGTACGCTGTGGTTTGATCGCGCCATCATTGAAAGTTCGGGTGGAAGGGCACGCCATGAGCGCGTCACTGGAGCTTCCTGGCGCGAGAGAGAGAAAGAGAGACAAACAGAGAGCGCTGTAAATACGAGAACAGTGGGCGCGTAAGTAAGCGAGAATGAAACAAAATCAAGTTTCCAACACACCCAGTCACATTAATGGCTGGAATCACCACGCATAACCGTTCCGAAGTGCACTTCGCCATCTGTATGCAATCCCTGGCGAACGGCTCTTCGTGCACAAACGATGCAGACGGATGGCACTGCCGCCTTTTCCACATTGAGCGAGATCACAAGTGTGGCGCGAAAATGTGGCAATAGTACACTGCGAAACTTGAAAAAAAACTGCCCTGTTCGGGTAGAGCTCAAGACGCCATCTCGGAAAGACGCAGGGCAGACGGCCCGCAGGCGCGAAGGCAGAACACACAGGCAGAAACCTCGGACGTCCTGGGACGGCAGATTTCCGCCGGCGCTAAGCCCAAACCTCCGCACCCATCCTGGGTGGACAGAAAGATACCAACGCCGCTGCATCCTGGGCCTCTCCTGGGGTGCGCTCTGACCTGGCCTTCGAGGCGAATCCGCCCGTGGCGGCGAGGCTTCGCCAAGATGAGCAGATGTATCGGCCCTGAGATCCGACGTCACCGAACAAAACTACAACGTCATAAAAAAATCACGACTAGAGCCCCGGACCCCATCGTTCTGCGGCTTTTTTCGAGTCAGATCGGTGTGTGATGGTCTCGGGGCACCAGAAAAAGCAAAATCGCCTGTCCTGAAACAATGGGACGCCAGGGTCTCAGGATATCGGTATCTTTCCCTCCTCTGACCCACCCCCGCGGGTGCGGGGCGGGGCCCCAGCGCTGGCGGAGGCCTCAAGCCTCACGCGGACGTGCGAGGCCTCACGCCTCGTAAGCCAATCCGGCCGCTGAGCGTCGCCTAGGAGAGGCTCGGGGTGAACACCGAGACTTTGGGTTGGTCCAAATCTAGAGGCGTCCTAGATGGGGTCCGACTAGATGGTGTCGGAGGTTCGCGCCGCCGATGCGTCGGTGATGTATCGGCGACGTCGCCAATGCATCGGCGCCGTCGGCGTGGAGAAAATCGGGAGTCATATCGAGCCGCATCGGCGATTCATCAGCGATGCAGCGCGACCCTCCGACGATCCTCCGACCCCATATACTCGACCCCATCTGGGAGGCCTAGAGGAGTGCACACCGAGTGTTTTGATCGGTCCACCTCGGCAACCAGGCTCAAAGCAACCATGGGAATGCAGTGGAGGTCGAGCGCGAGAACACAAGACGAAGCCAAGACGGGACAAGTTGGGGCTTTCTGAGATCTGGCGGTTCTGGAGGATGCACGACGTGTCGGGCGCCGCGGCCGTTCCAGAGCGCTCTCCGACACCCCATCCGACAGCTTCCCAGGCTGTGGGAACCTGCAGCGTCTGCGCACCAGATCCGCTCGCCGAGTCCTCTGGCTCCTGGGCCCACAAGTCGGCGCGGTGTGCACACCGAGGGTCCTTCCGAGGCCATCCCTCCAGCGAGCGGGTGCCGGCAGCCGCCCGAACTCAGAAGAAGGGGACGATGTCCGCCAGGGTGGCGAGCTGGTCCTCGGCACGCCGCGAGGCCGGGCACGCCGGCCGGGCAGATGCAGGGCCGGGCGGAGCGGGCGTGGCGTGCGCGACGCTGGGCGGACCGCCCTGCGCGCGCCCCGGCGTCCTGCGCGTCCCGCCCTGTGACGACCTCGGCGCCGATGATGCCCATGGCGGCGAACATGCCAGCGCGGCCGTTGTTGAGCTCGATCTCGGTGGCGAGGGGGGGCAGCGGCATAAAGGGCGCGGGTCACAAGGAGGCTCTGGGGCTGTATCTCCCTGGACGGGCTCCTCATCCTGAACCATTCGTTGACGATCGTGGGGCCTGCGGATGGCCCCAGGAGCCCGAGACCTCTGGGCAACTCTGGGACCGGACCCCTCAGGGCGACGCAGCAGCGGTTCGAGGGATCGGGGCGGCTTGGAGGAAGGCCCACGTGGCGGCGCGGCCGATGTCGAGCTCGATCTGGCGGAGGGGGATGGTCTAGCCCAAAGGTGGGAAAAGGGAGGAGTGAGGGGAGGACGCACCCGATGGGACAGTGTGTCCAGGTCTGTGGAGTACTATCACCCACGAACCGCCATCCTGATCGGACCACAACGGGAAGCGCCGATTTGGTCCGTTGGGCTCGTATGGGGGAAAAGAAAACAGGGATGATGGCGACGACAAGGCGGCGGATGTCGAGGATCGCAGCGTGAATGATGGGGGGGCAGCGAGGGAAGCAGAAGGACAAGGAGTAAAACGACTAGCACGAGGACGACGACGAGGAGATGGAGGAGGACGAGTACGAGGAGGAATGAAGCGGAGGAGGAGAAGCAGAATGCGGAGGAGGAGGAGGAGGAGGAGGATAATAACAATAATAGTACTACGAAGAGCAATGCGAATAATGATACTAATAATATTCGGAAAAGGAAAAACAACAAACAGTAATAATAGCACACAAAAGAACTATCCTGGCGAAGGACCCAACCATAAGCAATCGTTTGTAACGCGTTGTGGGTGCCGCTTTCGGTGGAGCTCCCTATGGGGCCACGAGACGCTGCTTTGGGTGGGGGAACCGCATGTGAATTGTGACACTGGGGCGGGCTTTCGGTGGAGCTCCCTGTGGGGCCACGAAACGCTGCCGTGGGCGGGGGAACCGCATGCGAACTGCGCCACTGGGGCCTTCGGTGGAACTCCCTATGGGGCCACGAAGCGCTGCCCTGGGTGGGGGAACCGCATGCGAACTGCGCCACGGCAGCCTTCGGTGGAGCTCCCCATGGGGCCACGAAACGCTGCCCTGGGTGGGGGAACCGCATGCGAACTGCGCCACTGGGGCCTTCGGTGGAGCTCCCTATGGGGCCACGAAACACTGCCTTGGGTGGGGGAACCGCATGCGAACTGCGCCACTGGGGCCTTCGTGGAACTCCCTATGGGGCCACGAAGCGCTGCCCTGGGTGGGGGAACCGCATGCGAACTGCGCCACTGGGGCCTTCGGTGGAGCTCCCTATGGGGCCACGAAACGCTGCCCTGGGTGGGGGAACCGCATGCGAACTGCGCCATTGGGGCCTTCGCTGGAGCTCCCTATGGGGCCACGAAGCGCTGCCCTGGGCGGGGGTACTGCATGCGAGAGCAGCCACTGGGGCCTTCGGTCGAGCTTCCTATGGGGCCACAAGACGCTGCCCTGGGCGGGGGAACCGCATGCGAGAGCAGCCACTGGGGCCTCCGGTGGAGCTCCCCATGGGGCCACGAAGCGCTGCCCTGGGTGGGGGAACGCATTGGGAAAGTAACCACTGGGGCCTTCGGTGGAGCTCCCCATGGGGCCACGAAGCGCTGCCCTGGGTGGGGGAACCGCATGCGAACTGCGCCGGTGGGGCCTTCGGTGGAGCTCCCTGTAGGGCCACGAAACGCTGCTCTGGGTGGGGGAACCGCATGCGACCCCCCCCCACTGGGGCCATCGGTGGAGCTCCCTATGGGGCCACGAAGCGCTGCCTTGGGTGGGGGATACGCATGCGAACTGCGCCACTGGGGCCTTCGGTGGACGAAACGCTGCCCTGGGTGGGGGAACCGCATGCGAACTGCGCCACTGGGGCCTTCGGTGGAACTCCCTATGGGGCCACGAAGCGCTGCCCTGGGTGGGGGAACCGCATGCGAACTGCGACACTGGGGCCATCGGTGGAACTCCCTATGGGGCCACGAAGCGCTGCCCTGGGTGGGGGAACCGCATGCGAACTGCGCCACTGGGGCCTTCGGTGGAGTTCCCTATGGGGCCACGAAACGCTGCGCTGGGTGGGGGAACCGCATGCGAGAGCAGCCCCAGTAGGGGCCTTCGCTGGAGCTCCCTATGGGGCCACGAAACGCTGCCTTGGGTGGGGGAACCGCATGCGAACACCCCCACTGGGGCCTTCGGTGGAGCTCCCTATGGGGCCACGAAGCGCTGCCTTGGGTGGGGGAACCGCATGCGAACACCCCCAGTGGGGCCTTCGGTGGGCCCCTATGGGGCCACGAGAACGCTGCCCTGGGTGGGGGAACCGCATGCGAACACCTCCAGTGGGGCCTTCGGTGGAGCTCCATATGGGGCCACGAAATGTGTGAGAGGTGCGCCGAGAGCAGAGGCAAGGAGGGGGAGGAGGGAGGAAGGGGGGGTGGGGAAGAAGGGGGAGGAGGAGGAAGGAAGGTGGGACGCGGGGCGCTGTCTCTTCAAAACGAGGACCCAACACCACAAGATGGTTGGGAAAAAAAGGAGGAGGACGACGACGGAGGACGGTAAGGAACCCGACGAAAAGGACGTCGAAAAAAACTGGTCCTCGTGATCTCTTGACTGCCTGTGGGCTGTTCAGGCCGTCCGGGACTATCTTGGGGCATCCTGCGGGCCTCTTGGGGGCCTGCCGGGGTCCTCTTGGGAGCTACCGGGGTCTTCTTGGGCTGTCTGGGCATGTATCAGGGTTCTGTGGGGGCTCGGCTCTCTCAGGCAATCTCGCCGCCATCTTGAGCTGTATTGGACCGTATTGGGGCCCTCGCGGGCAGTCCCAGGGCATCTTCGGGCGCTCTTGGGGGCCTCTGGGCGGCTCTTGGGGACGTCTTGGGGCTCTCTTGGGGCGCTTTGGGGGTCCCCTGGGGGGCCTTCGGGGGCTCTCTGGGTCCGTCTTGAAGCCTCGGGGATCGATTCCAAGATACCGCACTTTTTTGAGAACGTGATGGAGGAGGACGAGTAAAAGGAGGAACGAAGCGGAGGATGAGGAGAAGAAGAAGTCTTTCCTCTGAGAATCGGGGTAAGATGACAAAAGAATTAAGGTCTCATGTTCACTCTGCTCAGTGGAGGAGGGCACGGCATGAGACATCGATAAGACAAGTAGCCGGCAAGCAATGTACTCTATCAGGAATAGTAAGTGAGGAGGCCGGCCAGCCGACGACACGACTACGACGAGGGGGCGACCCCTCGGCGCGCGCGCGAGCCAGCACGCTCTTTTTATCTCATGTAAGCACAAAGGCAGCTGCGAAAGGTTACCGCAATCATAGTCATACAGTGCGCAGCAAGACAAGCGATATGATAAGCAGCATGAAGATGAGGCGGAGAGGAGCATATTTACTCCCCCGGCAGCGGGCCTCGTAGAGCCCATCCAGCCACAGCACCCCTGGCCTGTACATATACACAACCACCGGAGCCAACCGCAAAATAATTTTACGGCTCAACGGTGGCTGCCAGGGGGCTAAGGGCCGAAGAGGCCCGACGACTCCCACCATCAGATAATAAATTCTCTCCGCCGGTTCGACTTCGTCGATCGGCAGAGCTGCTTTATCCGTCCGACACGACTTCGTCGCGCGGCGAAAATTATCTTGCATGCGCCTGCAGCGACTAAGTCACGCGGGCCGGACTCAATCCAGGTCCTCGAACGGGTTGTCCCCCGTCGGTGGCGTCGGAGGCCTCGGGCGCGATGGCGCCGAGCCTCCTGTTTGTCCCTCGCCGCCACGAGGCGAACGGGACCTCCCTTTGCCACGGCCAGCGTAGTACGCTGATCTGTAGTGCTTGTCTTTGTTCTCGGTCTCCTTCCCCTTCGGCGGGAAGCGAAACTCATGTTCAGCCAGACAGGACGCGCCACGTCTGCGACCACCAGACATCGTAGGATAGCCACCAGAGCCGATCCCGATGGACGTAGCATCCGTCCTGCACATCATTTATGTAGTGCGGGTAGGAGACGAGCGGGTCGTAGCCAGCAGCGCCCCGGCCGACGTCCATGGCTCCATCGCGCGCGCGCCGGGGCCTCGACCAATCCCGTGCGTCAGAGTACCACGATTTTCTTCTCTTGCCGAGACGGCTGCGCCGCTGGCAGAGCATGGGGATTCGGTAACTTCGTCGCCAGCCCGAGCGTCTTGGACGTCGGGTCTGCGCGGCGGACGTGGCGGTTGCGGTCTCGCTTTCGCCGCATCCTGTGGTCGTCTCGGCCCCACCGAACCAGCTTGGCTGTCGGGGGGCTCACTGGCGCTTCCACTCTCATGAACATTCTGCTCTCGATCGCGAATGAACTTCAGCAAATTCCTAGCAGCAGTAGCTACAGAAATGCCACATTTACCGCATGCAGTACGGAGCGGGCCTGCGTCCTTATCTTGGAGCTCCACATTAGCATCTACGTACCTGTTCCGAAGCCAATAAATGGCCTCGTGTAACAATGAGCCCTGGCGACGAATGTCGGCTCGTACTTGTCTGCCTAAATTGCGGGCCCACTCTTCTATGAGGTCGCCCGTCTGAACCGCAGCGCGGATGCGACAGTCAAGGGCATATGCATCCCTCCGTCGCTTATAATGATCATCATCTGTGCTCCCTCCCGCGGTAAGAATTGTTCTCCCCGGGTAATCAACAAAATGACCATCTGAAATAAAGGAGTTCATGATCTCGCGAACGATAGCAACCACTCTTATAATGCAAAGACCAAGTTGCTTTTGTGGTACAGGGACCATCCAGTTCCCTTCAACCATGTTCCTCACGATATCTGGGACTTCATGTTGCGTTTCCCCTGACAGTCGCAACCTGTTGGGACAATTTGCATTTGAGCGAACACTTGTGTATTCAATGACATATTGAGCTGTTATCGCTCTAGCCTCGATCCCGGTCAAAGATATATTTATTGAGTTGTCCTCACAGCGTTTATATGAAAATCCGTCGGGGTGATCGAGGTTGATCGTCCCGTCAGTTATCAGCATGGCCTTGCGCCCGCTGATGGCTGTGAAGTCAAGTGTGACCTGCAGATTTGCGTCTGCCGTTTCGGCTTGGCCGGAGGCAGGTTGCATCGTTGGTGCTACGAGACGATGGTCGCGACACTGGTTTGCTCGCCTAGTGATAGAACGAGAATCACGACTCGGTCTTGCCTCGAGGCTGTTTTCCCCGGCAACCGGTAGACGTCCGCGAGGGTTTTGCCCTGCGGCGTCTGCGGCATCGTCCTGCTGTACAGGCATCCGCGGTCTTCCCATGGCTACCTGATCGGCTATCGTCTGAAGTGTCGGGACGAACATGTTTTGCCTGGTCACCGTGTGTTGCCATCTTTCCCAGCCGTTCATCGGTTCGTGGAGGTCGTCTCGCTGGTCTGGCCAGTCGAAGGCTGCCAGAGCCGGACAAGACATTGGACGCGCATACTGGTCAACATCCGTTTTCCAAAGCAGGGGCCACCATACCTGAATTGGAGGAACTTGGGTCCTCGCTCTTGAAGCCAAGAATGCGAGCCATTCAATGAACCTCCGTTTCAAGGGCTCCAAATACTGGAAGAAAGGGCCATGAAAGCCGAGGTCGGTGAAACCGATACGTTGAACTGCAGTGTTCCACCCGGGTGGTGCGATGCGCTCGCAAGAACCAGCACCAATGCACGGCGCTAGCCCAGGATGAAGCTTAGCACTCGTGCCCGACGCGAAGCTGCGGCCAATGTCCGTGGGGTTGCGGTGGGTGGAGGGACGTCGTGGCGCTCCTGTGGGCGAGTCGCTCTTCATCACGGTTGCGCCTTCTGCTGTTGACCTCGCAGTCGGACCGGATGTCCGAGGCGATATGGCAGTTCATTTGCAGAACAGCCGCAAGCACAGGCTATTCAAGGAATGGAAGGTTGTACCAATGCGGAGGTGGATGTAACTGCGAAGCGCTCTTCGCACGTTCCGTGGATCGAGAGCTGGGATCGCTCCCAAATCCACTACCAACTTGAATTGCAGGGCTTGGTAGCTGTAAGAGAGAGAACATGGTGGCAATAAACTGTAGATTGCGGGGCTTGAACTCGTCATACAATAAACAAATGTGCGTCGACGCTCGGGCCAAACAGCGGCGACTCCTCCTATTTGACTAAAGAAGAGGAGGAGGAAGAAGAGGAGGAGGAAGGAGGAGGGGAACGAGGAAAAGGAGGAGGAGGAGGAAAAGGAGGAAGACGAGGAGGAAAAGGAGGAAAAGGAGGGCTCGGCATGCGTGTTGGGCGCTGCGAGGTGAGGCGGAAGGACGGACGAAAAGAAAGAGCGAGGAAAGACGGGAGGAGGAGGGCGAGGGAACAAGGGACGGAGGGAGCAGGAAACAGGAAAGACGGGGGTAAAAACGGAGGGGGGAAAGGGGGAGCAGGGGAAAGGGGACGCTAAACCCTCCAGTGCCGGCGCCTCCCTCCAAAACTCGTCGTAGCCGCCGACGCCCTCCAGAACAGGCGGGCGGGCCCCCGAATCCTGCCTCGCCTCCCTCCCTCTTTCCGTCCTCCATCGCTCCTTCCGCGTTCCCCCTCTCTGTCTTCCTTCCCTCTTCCGTCCTCCCCCCACTTTTCACTGCCCCGTTTCCCCCTCCACTCCCTCCACATCCCTCCCGCTACCCTCCCTCGCCATGCCTTCGCTATCCTACCCTCGCCCCCTTCCTCCATCATCCTCCTGCACCTAAGCTCCGCGTGCACAAAATACCCTTTTTCGAGCCGAGCAGAAGCGGGGATATGTTCGACAAGGGAATATTAGCCAACGTGGGCCCTAAACAAGTGTGTGTATGTTCTGGCAATACATGTTGTGCAACCTACATGGTGCAATGTGTATCTTTATGAATTTATCAAACATAGATCTATGTATGCATGTATATATACAGATATACACAACTACAAATGTATATATATGGTGCTACCTACGCGGTGCACTGTATGCGGTGCAGTCTGGGTGGTGCGATAACTGTTGTGCAACTTGTGTTGTGAAATCTAGGGTGCGCTGTCTATACACGTTGTGCAATAATTGCGGCCGTCTTGGAGCGATTAAAGCATGAAATGGTGATAAGGCCAAACAACATGAAAACAACAACGAGCATTAACGATTTTAGGTTCTCCAGGCGCTCTCGGGAGGCCTCTCGGAGCTCTCTTGAGGTCTTTTGGAGGCCTCCTGGGAACCTGGAGAACTGCTCGAAAACTATCCTGGGTTGCTTGGGAGCTTCTTGGGCCTTTCTTTTACGTTCTGGGGGCTTCTTGGGGTCGTCTTGGGCTGTCATTAGGCATTTGGGGCTAGAACCATCGCGCGCGCTTCGAGCGCGCTCAGGTTCTAGCCCAGGCTAGGGGGGCGCCGGAAGATCTTAGACAGCGCTATGAAAGCACAAGCGCGTGACATTGTCGTGTCTCCTGAGGGCCTCTTGGGAATCTCTTGGGTCTTCGCGGGGGCATCTTCTGAAGGGCTTCTGGGGGGTTTTCCGTGCTTCCTCAATTGGCTGTTGGAAGCACCTCTTTGATGTTGAATGGGGGGGGCGTCTTGGGGCTTCTTGGGGTCCCTTGGCAGGCGTCTTAGAGCGATCTTTGGCCGTCTCAAGGCCATCTTGGGCCATTTTGGGTGCCCCCTGGGGCCGTCGTGGAGGCCTCTTGGGCGTCTTGAGGCTTGTTGCAGGCCGGGGAGGGGGTATCAAAAAAAGGGCCCGACGTCACGGAGGTGGGCGGGGCGCTTTTCGTTGTTAGAAACCTTACACCCATCAACGATGTTGGCTTCTTGGTGCTCTTTGGGAAGGCAGTTTGGAGAGTTGTATGGGGGCTCTGAGGAGGCAGCTTGGAAGACTTTTGGTGACTGTTTTTGGAAGCTCTGGGGGTCCATTTTGGGTCTCCAAGGCGTCTGGGGCTTGCTGGGCCTCGGGAGGGCCCTGGAGGCGTCTTGGGAGCTTCTTGGGGCCTCCTGTCCCACTTTTGGACCCATCTTGGGCATGTGCTGGGGCGGTTTGGGGCCGTGGGCGGTTCCTGGGCAGTCTCGAAGCTTAATTGGGCTGTCTTGGCGCTCTCTTGGAAGCCTTTTTGGCTGTCTTGTGGCGGTCTTGGGGGTCTCTTCTGCCTTCTTGGAGCGTTGGTAGCTCGAGAACGCTATATTTGTGCTCTTTGGGGCTCTCTCGGGGGACCTCTTGGAGCTTTCTTGGGGTCCTAGTGGGCTGGGTATTGGATGTCTTGGGCCCATCTCGGACTTGGGACCCTCTCGGGCCGTCTTGGGCGCCTCTGGAGCCGTCCTGGGGGGCCCTCTTGGGCTGTCTTGTGGGCGTCTTCGAGGCCTCTGGGGCTTTCTCGGAACGGACATTGGGGCCTCTTGGGCAGTCGTGGAGCGTGGGGAAGCTGAAAAGGCGAGAACCCGAAAATACTTCAAAAATCAAACGAAAATAACAAGTGGCACGCGTGCCCTGGCTCTTGCACAAAGGAGTTGCGAAGGACAGGAGGCCCCCGCCTCCTTCTTCCAGGAGGGGTTTACGAGGAGCCAGGAAGAAAGCGGAGGAGGAGGAGGAGGAGGAGGACGACGACGACGATTTCTGGGCCTGGCCTGGTTTCCACGAACCACGAACGACCACGACGAAAATACAGGGTTCCGTGGCCCAGGGGGGCTGCCCTGGGAAGCCTGGACGGAGGGGTGCTCCCAAGAGTTTCCACGGGGGGGGTCCCAGGAACGAAGGACGACGACGAAAATAAAGGGTTCCGTGGCCCAGGGGGGCTGCCCTGGGAACCCTGGACGGAGGAGGGCTCCCAAGGGCTCCCACGGGGGGGTGGCCCAGGGGAGCACGGAGGGGAGGGTTCCGTGGCCCAGGGGGGCTGCCCTGGGAAGCCTGGACGGGGCCGGGCTCCAAAGGGCTCCCGAGGGGGGGGGGGCGGGGCAGGGGAGCTGGGTCTCAGGGCTCCCACGGGAGGGTGGCCCAGAAGAGCTGGGTCTGGGGGGAAGGCAGGGGGGGGGCGCGGGGACGAACGACACGACACGAAAATAAAGATGTCTGGGGCCCAGGGGGGCTGCCCTGGGAAGCCTGGACGGGGGAGCTGGGTCTGGGGGGGGGGCAGGGGGGGGGGGCAGGGGGGCGAACGACACGACACGACACGAAAATAAAGATGTCCGAGGCTCAGGGGGGCTGCCCTGGGAAGCCTGGGCGGGGGGGGGCAGGGGGACGAACGACACGACACGACACGAAAATAAAGGTGTCCGAGGCCCAGGGGGGCTGCCCTGGGGAGCCTGGACGGGGGGGGGGGCAGGGGGGGGGGCAGGGGGACGAACGACACGACACGACACGAAAATAAAGATGTCCGAGCTCTAGAGCACAGCTGTGCAAGAGAATAAAGGTGTCCGAGGCTCAGGGGAGCTGCCCTGGGAAGCCTGGGCGGGGGGGGGGGCAGGGGGACGAACGACACGACACGACACGAAAATAAAGGTGTCCGAGGCCCAGGGGGCTGCCCTGGGGAGCCTGCACGGGGGGGGGAGCAGGGGGGAGGGCAGGGGGACGAACGACACGACACGACGCGAAAATAAAGATGTCCGAGGCTCAGGGGGGCTGCCCTGGGAAGCCTGGGCGGGGGGGGGGGCAGGGGGACGAACGACACGACACGACACGAAAATAAAGGTGTCCGAGGCCCAGGGGGGCTGCCCTGGGGAGCCTGGACGGGGGGGGGGGCAGGGGGGGGAGCAGGGGGACGAACGACACGACACGACACGAAAATAAAGATGTCCGAGCTCTAGAGCACAGCTGTGCAAGAGAATAAATAATGTGTGCCTCCTGGGACTCCTTGGGAGCATCTTGGAGGCCTCTTTGGGTGTCTTGGATGCCTCTTGGACAATCAGGGGTTCATTCTTGAGTGATCTCGGGCCGTCAGTGGTCCTTGTCGCGGTCTGGAAGCGCCATTTCTGGCGATCTGGGGGCGTCTTCGGGCGATTGTAGTGAGCCCCCGGCGCCACAGCAAGGCCCCGGGGCCCCCGGTCCGAGGGCCCCGTCCTTGGCCCCGCCTCGTGCCCGCAGCAGGACGTCGCTGGGCCGTCTCGGCGCCCTCGTGGGGGCCTGTTGGGGCGATATTCGGGTGTCTGGGACCGTCTTGGAGCGTCGGCACGCTGAAGAGGCAGAATTGCTGAAATCCATCAAATCCATAAGAATCAATGATTTGGGCTTCTCGGGGCCACTGGAGGAGTGCTCTTGGAGACTCCTTGGGCCGTGTTGGAAGCCTTTTGGGCAATCTGGAGGCCATCTTGGGTACGTTCGAGCGATATGTCCGCGCTTCGGGGCCTCTTGGAGGCCTCTTGCGGCCGTTTTCATATGTGTTGGGGCTGTCTTGGGCCGTCTGGGGGCGGCCCTGGGCCGTCTCGGCGCCCTCGTGGAACCTTGTCTGGACGATTTCTGAGTGTCCTGGACCGTCTTGGAGCGTCGGGAAGACGAACAGGCAGAAACGCTAATGTCCAAACAATCAAAAGAAAATTAAGGATTTGGGCTTCTTGGGGCCCTTTTGGGAATGCTCTTGGGGACCCCTTGGGCCGTGATCGAAGGCTTCTGGGCCATCCGGAGGCCATCTTGGGCGTGTTAGAACGATAGTTCCGCGACAGTAGGCCTCTTGGAGGCCTCTCGCGGCCTTCTTCAGATGTGTTGGGGCTGTCTTGGGCGGTCTGAAAGCGTCCCTGGCGCCCCGGTCCTCGCATGGCGCGTCGAGGGCCCCCTCCCGGCCCCCCCCGTGTCGTGCCCTAGAACCATCGCGCGCGCTTCGCGCGCGCTCAAGTTCTAGCTAGGCTTGATGGGCTAAATCATGGAATCTCATTTTGTCGCTTCTTGCATCCAGGGACTCTCTTGGAGGCCCTGCGCAAGCCTCAGAAACGTATGGGAAGGGAACTGCGGAAACGCGGAAATCATTTCTTCCCATTCGATATTCAACGATTTGGGAGGCTACCTGGTTTCTTTTCTGGGACCTGAGGGGGCCTTAATTGTGGTCTGTTGTGCAGGAGTAGACAGGGGGCGAACTTGAAGAAAAAAAGGAATTGTGGGATTTCCATGTTTTGCTCTAGTTGCCATGCTTGGGCTGTGGGTTAGAAGTTTTCTGGATACAAGCCACGGTCCGTTGGGATGCCTCTCGGGATCTTCGTGCAGAATAAGCAGGTGGTGAGTTTGAGAATAAAAGAATCTTATGTGTTCAACCCATGGAATCATGGGATCTCGGTTGAAACGATGGTTTCAGGAGCAGCCATAAGGACGCCTCCGCTTCAGAGCCAGCCTCGCTCCTGACCCAGGCATGGTGCTCCCACATCGGCGCTGGCCGCACTCCTCGCCGAGAGCGGTGCCCACGCCTCGGTACAAACAGGTTGGCCCTGCTGCGGCGCCAGCCACGTGTCTATCCAAGAACGGCGCTCTGGTCACACTCCACGACGACAGCGACGAGTGCGCCTGGAGCCCGAGGGGGTCGCCAAAGTCGCCCGGCTCCCTGTCGTCGCGCTCCTTCCAGAAGAAGATCTCCAGCACGGCTGCACGGAGGGGGGAAGGAACGGCTCCCAGACCTCCAGCGGGTTGGACAAACTACATTCACAAAATACGTGTCGCCGACTTCTTTGGCCTCCAGGGGTCCCATCCCCTCTGAAGAGCACTGGCCCCGCTGAGCGTCCGACCTGGCCCCCCAGATGGGGATAGAGGATAGATGCCGTCCCCATCGGACTTGGCGGCCTCCATCCCCATCTCTAAGGGGCCGTCTGGTGGCGCAAAGGAACCCTGGCCCACTGGGCATGAGGAGAAGCCCCCAGGTATCCGACGCCAACGGAACACTCCAGCGTCACACCCAGAGCCCTCGACCACATCTCTCTGCGGCAGTCCTCGAGCCAGATCCACCCGCGAGGGCCCTGTGGGCCCGAGGCGGAGGCGTTCAAGAGGGGGGCGTCCACCGAGGTCGGGCGTTTTCGCGCTCGGAAGCATCTCTCTGCGGCGTTCCTCGAACCAGATTCACCCGCGGGGGCGCCTGAAACCCCGAGGCCAGGCGTTTTCGCGCCTGGAGCGGAAAAACTGCGGCGCGCGGAACGTCGGAGCCGGACGATGCTGAAAACCTCTCTGGCCGAGACCGCCGGAGCGCAGAGCGCGGACTCAGCATCAGAGGGCGGGTTGCCGCCGCAGGAAGCGCGAACAAAAGCACACTGCGCCACCGAAGACGCCAAGGGAAACGCTGAGAACAGCGCCCTGCCCACTGACGCGAACTGCACTAGCGGCCACCCACTGGGGTCCGAGTAGATCGGGTCGCAGGATCGCGCCACATCGCCAATGCATCGCCGAGGCATCGGCGATGCATCTGCGACGTCGACGTGGAGAAAATCGGGCTCCACATCGACCCGCATCGCCGATGCATCGGCGACGCGGCGGGATCCTTCGACCCCATCTATTCGGACTTCATTCGAGCGACGAAAAAGAACGGACCTTCTGCGAGATGGCGTAGCCCCTTGCTCCTCAACCACCACCATCATCCATCATCCTCCTCATCACCACCACCCTCATCATCAGCATCATCATCAGCATCATCGTCATCATCAGCATCATCTTCATCATCGTCATCGTCATCATCAATCGTCATCATCATTATCATTATCATCATCGTCATCATCTTCTTCTTCGTCATAAATCATCATCAGCATCATCTGCACCAACATCATCATCATCATCATCATCATCATCATCATCATCATCATCATCATCATCATCATCATCATCATCATCATCATCATGACCATCATCCTCATCCTGATCCTGATCCTCATCATCATCCTCCTCATCCTCCCCATCCCCATCCTCATCCTCATCCTCATCCTCGACCTCAGCCTCAGCTGGGGCTTGACCAATGGCTTGTTTGGCCAGTCGCAAAGTCATGGGATCTACTAGAGGGGCCCACGCGCGGCGAGGTAGGAGGAGGACCAGGAGGATGAGGTAGGAGGAGGAACGGAGAGAGGTAGGATGAGGTAGGAGGAGGAGGTAGGAGGAGGACGAGGAGGATGAGGTAGGAGGTACGAGGAGGAGGTACGAGGAGGACGAGGAGGATGAGGATGAGGATCTCATCAAAAAACATCGATGAGGTAGGAGGATGACGAGGAGAAGGAGGGGGATGAGGATGAACGGGCGTCAAAGCGGAGAGGAAGAGAAGGAGGAGGAGGAAGAGAAGGATGCAATCTCTGTCTCTCTCATGCGCTGTCGCCGCCGCGTGGCCCGAGGGCCCGACGGCCGACAGCGACGGGCGGGCCGCGGCGGCGCGGCAGAACATCGCGATGATGCCCGCAGGAGCGCCAGCGCCGCCTGCCTCTTTCTTGCCTTCCTCATCCTCCTCCCCCTCCTCCTTCCTCCTCCTCCCCACCCCCAGCATCTGATTGAGCAGGCGACGTGGCTGCTGCGTGCGTGTGCCTCCCTCCTCTCCTCTCCTGGGTCTCCTGGGTGGCCCGCTGGGCCTCTCCTTGGGGTCGCCTTTTGGGCCCTCGGCGGCCCTCTCGTGGGGTCTGGTCTGATCTGGTCTGTCCTAGGCTTCGGGTGGGTTGGGCCGTCCCCGCAAAAGGCAAGAGGAGGGGGAAGTGGGTATTGACATGTTCCAGGCCGCCCCCCATATTCCCCCTCCCCCTCCTTCTCCCCCATCCTCCGTCCCGTAGCCGTTTGGGCTCGAGTGCTGTCCTGCACCATGCAGGCGGTGCTGCATGATCTATATCAGGAGCACGCTCCGAAACAGTGGGTGAGGGATGCTCATAGGACGCATCGCATATCGTTTTCGAAGGTTACCGCTGCGCTTCGGACGTGTTTGGGTGCGCTCGGCCACGCCATCGACGATCTGAACGTCAGGAGGCTCCGAGACAGCGTGGAGCGATTTGCGCGGAGCTTGGACCGTGGCCCGAGCCCAGGTGAGGTTCGATTGGTCGATGGCTCCAGCATTCATGCATCTGCCTTCCCAGACTTTGTATCCCGCTTCTGCGGTTTGCAGATGGCCACTTGTGATTGGGAAAAGTTTCTTCAGCGCACGAGCCCTGCCACCGCACGAAGCTGGACCAGCTCCTGCGCGACCAGGGGATTTCAAGAGCCAGAAGTTCGTCCGCTGGTACCGCTTATGTTGCCAGAGGTGTCAGAGTACGACGGCTTCGATCGCATCGAACTCCAGAACCTGTGCGCTCGAAAGGATGAGCGAGAGCAGCAATTAGTTCAAATTTCAGACGCAAAGAGCAAGAAGATCAGAGACTTACTGGCAAAGTGCGCGAAACTTGAATTTGAACGGGATGAAGCCAGAAAGCGACATATGGAGACCATGGCGCTGGTATGCTATAAGCCTGGCCGAAACGTCACACTGATTGGCGGATACAGCCTCGCTTTGCGAAGGAACACGTGCTCTGGTACGATTGGTGCAAAGTCGGCAGTTGTCTTGATGGCTGGAGATGACGCACATGGAAACGTGAAGAGCGACTCGACGATCAGAAGATTCGAGCACCGAGCAGCCGCCGCTAAGTATGTGAGATCCGAAGCTTGGCACTCGGAAGGAAGCGCTAGGTTCACAAGTGTGATCGACGACGCAGACGTGCCTGCACATTCAGAAAACAAGCCGTTGTATTTTGTTTCGCACAGGTACCAGGGTGATGCCACAACCACCGAATGCATCGATAAAAGCAAAGTGCACGTGGCCAAGTTCTCCACGACCGATTGCAGCGTCCTTGACATGATGAACGCCTGCTCTCCAGACGGGGCGCTGGATGCCTCGAACCTCCGGTGTAGGAGCCAGGAATTATTCTGCTGCCTGCAAATCGTGAGGGGGGGCAAAGGGCCAGACACCTACGCGTGCATGCGGGAGCAAATTAAATCGACTGCTGGCACGGTGTGGGACGAATCGCCCAGCGACCCCCGCTACGTGAGCATCTACAGTTTTGGATTAGACAACGGCGGGGACAATCAGCCTCAACCAGCTTTAGTGATGGCCTCGATTCTTCATCGCCCAAATGTCATGTGTGCGTTTGTCTGGTGCCAATTTCACCAGCACCACCTCATAGTAGAAAACGTGTTGGCGCTTCTTGAAAAGTGGGAGTGGTCGAACTGTTGGGATCGAAATTACTTCTCTTGTTGCTCAGCTGTAAGCAGTGCGTGGCGGAGCCATGGCGTGCCTATGGAATTTCGGGCTCGAGCGAGTGATCTCTTCGATGACACAGTTGCCAACGGGGTTTTCTCTGTGCTGCCGAACGCTGCTCTGCGAGGTCGCTGGGCCAGCATCGACAATCTGGAGCTTATCCTGTGGCGAGCGCGCAAGTACCTGCCGATGCTGTTCGTGGAGACGTTTGGTGATCGGAACGGGAACGCGTTCGGAAACCAACCCAAGTCACTACGTCGATACCCTCCCCCCTTACTTTCTGGGTGGGGCTACGCCCTCTCGCCCTCGTCTTTCCCCCTCCCGTTGGGGCTCCCACTGGGGTGGGGGGCAACGACAAAATGATGGGATGGTTTCCGAGCGTGTCGCAGGTGACCCCGACGCCGACGCCAAGGTTGGCAGCACAGGGGTTGGGTCCAGCGAGGCCGAGCAGTGGTATGTCGACAGGCAGACAGCGCGGAACAGCGCCACTCGGTCAGTGAACCGACCGCTGTTTTGGGCAATGATGCGAATATCTATGATTGCGAAGGGGCCTTTGATGCATTGGATGAGATGGCACCAGAAGGTTGTACGAGAGCATAACATTCGGAAAGCAGATTGCAAAGCGAAGGGGTTTGCTTATGTCGGCCCGACCCCGATGTCTGAGTTTGCAGATGGGATGGCCCAACAACTTGCCACCGATATTTCAAATCTTCTTGACGACGGTGCGTCTGCAGATCCATCGCGATGGGGCGAAGTGTGGCCCCTGCTCGCAACCCCTGCCGAGGAACAGTCGGCCATCCGACTGATCATCCAGAGCGTCCTTCGAGTTGCAGCTGGCTTCAAGTACCGCTTTCTGCAACCATTGGCATCTTGGCATTTGCAACTTCTCCGATTTGTTTCCCGACCTGCAGATGTTGTTGATGATGCACGTCAGACTATTGCCACTATCATGAAAAACACGGACGAGTGCTGCTTGAAAGATCCCCTAAGTGATATTGCGTGGAAAACAAAAGCAATGTTTAAGGACGAACTTGAAGTGGTTTCGCAATGTGGGAAAGTCCCTTGCAATCTCTACGGTTTTCTTCTCGTCTGGAGGGCCGAACTACCTAGTGAAACCCAGTGCATCGAAGGGCTCAATAGTATTGTGACAACGATGGGGAAGGTGAGCCCTAGCCTCAAAGTCCCACGAGCTTCTGACAGATTACCGGTGAAATTCGGAGATCCAATTTCGGCTGAAGAGTGTTGCGATTTGAACGCCAGTGTCCTGACCCATATGCAGTCTGAAAAATACACTTTGCGGTTCGCCCCAGCATCGACGGCGAACATGCCGCACCCAGTGGCTCAGAAGGTCTGCAACCATGAAAAGTTGAAGTACTCGCTGGCCGTGCTTGGCTTGGTTTCCCC